CCCACCCTCCGCCCCATCCCCATCCCCCATTTTCTCATCCATAGGTGCAGTTTATATTCAGTCTCTTCCTCCCTCCCTTTCCCCGATAGTAAATCCCTTTTCAGATAGTAAATCAGTTACTTAGCATTTTCTCATATCAATAATATCACCACATGCCCAATGATACATTTCACACAAAAGACATTTCCAAATAGGTCAACCAGCCTCATCCAGGCCCCACCCAAGGCACTCACAGGTCAACACCCCAGCCCTATACTAACTCAACACATCCAGATCTAAGCCTTCATCACTTGATTCAGCAGACCCTCAAGTTCCCACAAAAGTTTCCAGCCATGTCTGAGAGGCAGCCGTGGGGCAGGGGCAGGCGAGGAGCGAGCTGTTCCGGGCTTGGCTGCTCCGGGACTGGCCTCTGTTGCTCTGGTTCGTTCCACAACCAACTGCTCCGGGTCTGGTCACCGTCGCTCCCGACCTAGTTGCTCTGGACCTGGCTGCTGCTGCTCCAGTCCTGGCCGCACCCTACCCGGCTACTCTGGGCCTGGCCGCTCCCAGCCTGGCAGCTGCTGCTCCGGGCCTGGCCACACCAGACCCGGCTGCTCCAGGCCTGGCCGCTCCCAGCCTGGCAGCTGCTGCTCCGGGCCTGGCCGCACCCGACCCGGCTGCTCCGGGCCTGGCCACTCCCAGCCTGGCAGCCGCTGCTCCGGGCCTGGCCACACCAGACCCGGCTGCTCCGGGCCTGGCTGCTCCCAGCCTGGCATCTGCAGCTCCGGGCCTGGCCGCACCAGACCCGGCTGCTCCGGGCTTGGCCGCTCCCAGCCTGGCAGCTGCTGCTCCGGGCCTGGCCGCACAAGACCCGGCTGTTCCGGCTGTTCCGGGACTGGCTGCTCCCAGCCTGGCAGCTGCTGCTCCGGGCCTGGCCACATCAGACCCGGCTTCTCCAGGCCTGGCTGCTCCCAGCCTGGCAGCCGCTGCTCTGGGCCTGGCCGCACCCAGCCTGGCAGGCGCTGCTTTGGGCCTGGCCGCTCCCAGCCTGGCAGCCGCTGCTCCGGGCCTGGCCACACCAGACCCGGCTGCTCCGGGCCTGGCCGCTCCCAGCCTGGCAGCCGCTGCTCCGGGCCTGGCTGCACCAGACCCGGCTGCTCCGGGCCTCACCGCTCCCAGCCTGGCAGCCGCTGCTCCGGGCCTGGCCGCACCAGACTCCACTATTATTAAGTAAGGCTATGATATACAGAAGTAAAAGAAACAAACAAAAACAGGGGATTTAAAAAAAAAATACAGAGCAATAATAACAATACAGGAATAAGCATAACAACTTCACTAAAAAGCATAAAAATTCACAATAATCAACCTTCACACAAACAATGCAAAAAGGATAGAGGGGAGAACAGTTTTTTTGTTTGTTTGTTTGTTTGTTTGTTTTTTAACTAGATAATATAGTGCAGAGATCGGTATTTGTACACTTGGATCAGGGGTTGGAACTTAGGTCTATAAGTATAGTGAGAGCTTTAGCAGGGGGTATACAGAAAGAGTAGAGGAAAAACTAAAGCTGGAAAGGGATAGGATAAACTGTAGACTAAAGGGTAAAGTTTAGTAAGAGAGTGATGGTGTAAAGGTTGAATTGAGATAGGGTTGAATGATGCTATACTAGAGATTAAAATAGAATGAAGGTTACTCCCAATGTAAAATAAAGAAAAAATAAAATGGTACTGGAGAAGAAAGAAAAAAAGAAAGAAAGAAAAAAAAAGAAACAAAAATTGCAAAATAGCAGTAGTAATAATGATGATAGAGATTGAAAAATGTAATAATTGAAAAGGTAAAATCAAGTAAGGAAAAAAATTTATTTCTTAAGTAAAAGATATGAAAAGATGAAAATTAAATAAAAGATGTAAAAAATGAAAATAAAATAAAGAATAGTAAAATTAGCATAAAAATGTCCAGTAGTGGTCATTCACTTCCTCAGTTAATGTATTTGGCACTCCTGATTCTTGGACCAGACAGTCTTGCAGTTCCCAGCATTCCACTGCACCTCAGTTTTGTAAGGTAATCCTTAATTTTAAGTAGGCTATATCTTAGTTATTAGTGTCCATTTATTTTTGATTAATTAAAAGAAAAAAGAAAAGGGGAAAAAAAAAAAAAGGCGGTTTGTAATTCAGCTCTTAGGTGTCAGTGTTTCCGGTTTGACCTCCCAGTCTTTTTGGTTGCTCTGGTCTTCTTCTTTCTCTATGGCTCTAGCTGGCAGGGTGCCAGCTGGCTCCCAGACTATCTCTTCTGGCTCCGATCCCTTGTTTCCAGGAAGGCAATTTCCCCCTGCAATTTCCAGGATATGCCCAACTGGGCAGTCCTTCCCTAGTATTCCGAAGCTAGGGGGTGAAGGGGGTCAGGCGCCAAGGTGTCCAGATGTTCCGTCCTTGGCGGGACAGCCGCGATTCTTAACACTCTGTCCCGTGTCCCCTGGTTTTTTTTTTTTTTTTTTTTTTTTTAATCCTGCTTCTGGGGAAGCTTACATCAAACCCAGCACTAGGTGTCGCTGCAGCCTTCTTTGGGCTCAGCTCAGCAGGTGCTCCCTGCTACAGTGGAGGCGGGGCCTCGCCGGAGCTCTGGCTATGGTTGCCTGCGCCCCAGGACCAGGAACCCTCAGGCTATCCCCACAAACTCTGAGCTTTCCGTGGGTGACAGAAGACCTCCCTTGAATCCACGTGTCTGCGCCGATTCGGGCTTCTCAGCTGCTTGATGGACCTCTCCGCGGGGGTTTTCCAGGCCTCAGAGAAGCTACTCCTTTCCTGGTAAGGTGGCGGAGCCCCCGAGCCGCAGCCCTCAGCTCGCCGCCACCTCCGCCGCCGCGGCAGTGCTGGCCACCCGGCCAGGAAATCCTGTCCAGCGGACAGCTCCCTACCTTCTTTGAGAACTCCGCTGCCCCTCAGCTGCCAGTCAACATTCCCTGAGCTGCTCAGACGCTACTTTTGTCTATTCTGGGACCAGAGTCAGAACAAGTCTGACTGTTCAGTTGCCATCTTCAAGCTCCGCCCCTCCATTACCTGCTTTTAAATGTTGTTGTGGTTGCCCTGATCTAATTTACTGAATCACCTAGGTACCTATCTTTACCCTGGTGAGATCCCCTGCTCCCTTGGCTATGAAGTAGAGAACAAAATAATACCTTTCTTCCCATGTCTTGAGAATCAGATAAATGCTACTCGGTGATGTGAAACAAATGGTGGTGGAGGTGGAAAGATAAACATGGGAGCAGCAGTCTGTGTGCAGTGATAAGTTTGTTTGTCACCCAGAAGATATGCAAATTAGAGAATATAGATAAAGAGAAAAAAAATGAATTCTGAAACCTGTCCCCAAGAGAATTGGCATTCATTTTTCACATTTTTGTGATTATCTTTCTAGATTTTTATGAAGACCATTCATCTCTTAAATCTGGTGTGAAGCGAACTATAGTCTGCATTTTTTCATTTATCAATAATCCCAATGTAAACCAAATTTAATTTTAGACTATCAAAAAGAATTAAAAGCATTTATTTGAGCAAAAGGAGCTGCAACCCAGGAGACACAGATTCAAGGAGCAGTCTAAATTGTGTTTCACTGAGACAAAGGGGAGGCCCTCTTTTACTGCAAAAGTTGTCACCCAGGCTCTCAATTAGGTCTGTTTTATATAAATGAGGTGTCCAAAATGTGCAGTTCTGATTGGACAGGGCAGATTTCAGCCCCTTGGTAAAAGAACAAACCAGGGTTTCCCTGCAGGGGTTTGGTCTGAGGTTCTTCGAGGTATAAAGTACAGGACGAGCCCCTGTCAGCAAATGCCTGCTAGGCTCTTACTTATAAAACTTGGGCCCTTGGTTAACCATGGGAAATCTATTTCAGCGCAAAAATTCCTTCTCAGGGTTCACATCAAATGAATTTTTCTACTTGGGGATCCACATAATCTTTATATGCCAGTAAATGTGTATTGTTGTAAGTGTTTAATACTGAATAGTATTGCTTCATGTAGTGAGGCCAAGTTGAATGTTACCAGGTTCTCGGGACTGGGAATTTAATAGAGTTTTCACTTCTTTTCTACTCAAAACCACATTGTTTGGCATATATCTTTGTATATATGTATGCCTGTCCCTCATCACAAGCCACCCATCATCTGCATTAGGTAGGAAGTTAAAATTGGTAAAGAGGAGAGAAACTGACAAAGCTCCTTAAGAAATATGTCATTGTAGGGATTTGATGGAGGAGGAGCATGTCGTGCAGTGTAAGGGGCTGGTTCAGTGGAGAGAGCATAGGCCTACATGCAGGCAGATGTTTGCTGTGTGTCTTGGGAGCGTCTGTACAGTGAGAACCCTGATGCTGAAGTAATGTTGGTAAGGTGTAAGTAGCTTGCAGCATGTACCCAGTAAGTCTTAGTTACTCTCCTTTCCCCGGGGACTAAGGATTCATATGTTCTTTTGGAATGAGGTTATTCAGTTCCTTTTTGAGGAGGTGACTCATGTTGTTTGTGACAACCATAGCAGTGATGGTGTGACCTTGTTTGGAAATGTTGGGACTGTGCTCTCTCCCTGCGCAGTGATCACTGGCAAGATGATTAACTCAACCCAAGTGCTGGCACAGAGTTCTTCAGGGACATATCTTTTTTTTTTTTTTAATATATTTTTATTGATTTTTCACAGAGAGGAAGAGAGAGGGATAGAGAGTTAGAAACGTCGATGAGATAGAATCATCGACCAGCTGCCTCTTGCACACCCCCTCCTGGGGATGTGCCCGCAACCAAGGTACATGCCCTTGACCGGAATCGAACCCGGGACCTTTCAGTCCGCAGACCGACGCTCTACCACTGAGCCAAACCGGTGCCGGCCAGGGACTTATCTTTTGTTTTCAAACCTTCTGGCAAAAATAGACAAGCACTGTGTGGTCTGTCACCTTCAGTCCTCCAGGCTCTTGGGCTGTTCCCAGCACAATATGGGCAAGCAGGACTCTGAGGGAGTGGAGTCCACAGTGAGCCCATGCTTTCTCTGCAGGTGGCCATGAACATCCTCAACAGTGGGCGGTTCAGCATGGGCAGCGCTGTGGCTGGGATGCTCAAGAAATTAATCGGTAGGTAAATAAGGGACAGGAACCCTTTGTGGTACAGTCTTGCCCCTCAGCCTGGAAACTGCCATGTGCTCACAGCAGACTGGTGCTGAGTCAGAACACTGGGCATACAGTCTCACTCAAGTTTAGGACCTGGGCTGTGATTTAGATCAAAGAATGTATTTGGTATTTGGTATTTGGTATTTGGTATTTGGTCTGTCCCCAAAGAGTGAGTGTCCATGTTTCAGCACTCCTCTATTTTACCTGCTCAGAAAGGATAGGAGGAGGGGAGTGGACATTTTGTCAGAGATGAACGGGGTAACTGCTCTGACCACTAGGAGCAGAGCTACTTAGTGAGCATCCAAGTGTGAACCAGACACCTGTAAACATTAGCCCTGATTCTCCCCGTTTTGTAGGTGACTGTTTCCACAGTGGGTGTAGAGTGGGATCAGGTTTGGAACCCAGATCTCTCAGCCTGTCAATCTTCCCTTTGTTTTTTCTGTTATGATGCCTGAATTCAGGATTTTCCTTTGCCAGTAAACTTAAAATAGCCCTGTAGGGTTTTTGTTGGGCATGGAACATAATTACTATATTAGTTTTGTGGGAAATGCAGGGAACACTGGCTATGGATGGTGGGAGATACCTAAGGGCTGCATACACTGAGTGCGTATGAAGTTCCTCAGAGTTCAGGGCAAGGTGGGATGGGAAGGCTTTGCTTTGGGTTCTTACCTTTCTTTATAGATGAGGAGACTGGTGCTCAGAGAGGGTAAGGGTTTTGCCCAAGGCCATGTTCCTGGGCCTAAAAGCTGATCCTGTCAGACTCCAAGCTCAGGGCTTGTCTCTGCTGAGCTACTCCGGATTTCTTTCGCATCTGGAAATTCTTCAGTACAAGAGCTTTTGGGGGTGCTCATGGCCAGCTTCTTCCCAAAGGATGTAGAATGATGATATCCTAAGTCCCGGAAATGTGTGAGTGGGGGTACCTGTTTACCATCTGAGCCCATCTTGAGAAGCAGTTGTGATTGGATCATAGCGGTGGGAATGTTTGGAGAGTACCGACTGTAGGGCAGGGACTGCTGACTGGGTGGGATGCTGCTCTATTCAGTTGGATGCCTTTGCAGCTGGGACCATGATGCAGCTTGCATTCACATTTGTGCACTTTGAAGCCATAGGCCTTCCTGATTTGGGGATGAACAGCTGTGACTGGTGTGAGCCAGCCCCTGCTTCTGCCCAGGGCATTTATGGGGACACGACTTGGTGCTAGGCGCCTTCCACCTGCACCATGCAGTCCTCACAACTCTGTGAGGTCGGTGGTATTATTGGGGGAGGTGAAGTCACTTGTTTTGGGATACCAGCTGGTAAGAAAAAGTGCCAGACTCAGACCTATGTCTAACTTCAAATTGTGCTTCACGTCTGTCCTGTGTGCTGGGGGCACCACTGCGAGGACAGCCCTCCTCCAGCCTGGCTTCGCTAGAAAGCAGAGGCTCGGTCTTTCAGGGGGCTTGTCTCAGCAGACTGTTCCACATAGTTTCCGCCTGAGGGGTGGAAGGTGATAATGACAGCCTTAGTAAATTATCGTAGGACACCCAGAAAATTGTTCTTTTAAACTCTGTTCTTCAGAAATGACTGCAGAATATGCCTGCACGAGGAAGCAGTTCAACAGGAGCCTCAGTGAATTTGGATTAATTCAGGTACTAAAGATTGTACAAGTGGCCCTGTATGGATTTCACTGTGACCAGAATCAAACCAGGACCCTTCAGTCTGCAAATCAATGCTCTGTTCACTGAACCAAACAAGCTAGGACTATTTTATCCACTTTTAGAGACCACTACTGTGGAAGGGACTTTATAGAGAAGCTGGTATATAAAAAGACCCTGAAAGGCAAATAGGATTTCAAAGCAGAATCCAAAGGAGGGATGCTAGGCCAGGACCATAATGCTAGAGGTTGGAGAGTATCTGGTGTGTTTGGAAAAGCAAGAAGCTCTGCTTTGCTTGCTGGGGCGTAGAGTATGTGCAAAAGTGGCTGGAGAGGTAAGTTAAGGCTGTGCTCTGAAGGGCCTTGAGGGACAGGGTATTTGACAGGTGAGGTAAATGACCTGAGTCTGTAGCAAAGGGAGGCTGAGGAGGAGGTTCCAGTTACTACAGTGGTGGTTGGTGGTTGGTGGAGGAGCCAGGGAAAAGGACTTACACCTGGCCAGGAATGTGACACCCTTATGTGAATGCTCAGGCTCAGTTCTCTTGTTTAGTGTGAGGCTTTGGACTTAATTACCTTCTCTGCTGGTTGGCATATTTGATTCTCAGCACATGTAAAATGCTTATTTATTTATTTATTTATTTATTAACACTCCAGGAAAAGTTTGCCTTGATGGCGCAGAAGGCTTATGTAATGGAAAGTATGGCCTACCTCACTGCAGGGATGCTGGACCAACCAGGGTTTCCTGACTGTTCCATCGAGGCTGCCATGGTGAAGGTAATCTCAGCACAGCCTGCAGGGAGCTGAGGAAAGCTCCTTAGCTACTGTGTGACCAAGGAAGATAAAAGACTTGCCAGAGTTCATCCAATGAGACTGTGACCATCAGAGCTCCTGCCTTGTTCGGTCTCATCTCAAAGCCCATTTCTCTGTTGAGCCTCCCATTCCATCCCCAGCCACTCTGCCCATGTCCTAAGGCCCTCCTTTTGGAAGGAAGTTGGCACTAACCTTCTCCCGGGTCTGTGGCAGGTGTTCAGCTCAGAGGCTGCCTGGCAGTGCGTGAGTGAGGCGCTGCAGATCCTCGGGGGCTCCGGCTACATGAGGGACTACCCATACGAGCGCATGCTACGTGACACCCGCATCCTGCTCATCTTTGAGGTGCGTGCCCTGATACCAGACCCACCTCATTCTGCCATGGACCCCCTGAGCCTCCTGGTTCTGGGCCCAGGCTGGCTTCTGCGTTCTCATTTAACCCTCCTCACAACCCTGTCTAGATCCTGTTCTGCAGACTGAGAGGCCAAGCATTTCACCCAGGGTCTCGCTTCCAAGGGCCTTCTGTTGAGCCTACCACCTCCTGGCAAACCGCCGCAGGTCTTTGCCAAGTCGCTTTTGCCAGCTGTGGTGGGACAAGCAGAGATCTTCTCATAAGAAGCTCTGTACGGGTCTGGGTTTTTTTCTCAGTATATTGAGGGAGCTTAGGAGGGTCATCTCTGAGGGCTTTCCCAGCCTTGCAGTTCTTGCTCTCTAATTGCTGTCCCCCATGAATTCACAAGCCTAAAGGTACTGAGAGGGTCCTGGGTGGGGAAGAAATCTAGGGGTGGGGGACACAGAGACACCTCAGACACATCCCTTCTTTGGGGTGCCAGTGGTCACTGACTGAGCCAGGAGGAAACCAGGATACCAGGGAGTGAGGGACAGAGGTGCATCTCTCCTCAGGGACTGAAGTCTTATGAAGCAATTACACTTGAAGGCAGAAAGGACTTTGACCAGGCATAGGGGAGGACTCTATGGACCAACCACAGGGAAGTAGAGCATCCTGAGTAGGCCCAGACAGGAGCTTACCTGCCCCTTCTAAGCGAATGGAGGTAGAATAAGCAAACCTTTGTGGGAGTATTGGCCAGTCCTGCTTGATGAGCTGGGGCAGGTGACGGAGCAGGTGAGGAGGGAATGGAAAGGAGACAAGCAGCCAGGTTATACAGGACCTTGGTTCTTTACTCAGGGCAGTGGAAACTATAAAAGGTTATAGCCCTGCTTGAATAGCTTCCACGGTGTAAGCGAGCAGGCAGTAGCACAGTCCACCTAGTCGCACATGCAGGATGCTGGGGCTAACTTCCATGGGGCAGCTTTTGACCTCTGTACTGCTGACCACAGGGAACCAATGAAATTCTCCGGATGTACATTGCCCTGACAGGCCTGCAGCACGCCGGACGCATCCTGACAGCAAGGATCAAGTAGGTGCCATTCCCACTCTGCTCCTCGGGTCCCACCTGGGAAAACAAGAGGGGATGAGCAGCATGGCCTTGAAGAGCTGAGCCCATTCACTGCCTGGCTGGAGAGAGGGAAGGTGGGCAGGAGCCATGGTCAGTGAGTGTTGGGCCTTGAAAGCCAGACTCCAGAGCTCGGCCATTATTTGAGGGTGGCAGGAGGAGCCAGCTGCTCAGGGACGCCCTCACTGCCCTGCCCATGGGCTCACTCCCTGGGCAGTTCCTGTTTCCCAGGCTGCAGGGATTTTCGTTTTCAGGATCTGGGAAGGAGAGGTGCTGCTTAAACACAAGAGGTGCCCCTCCAAGGCCAACGCAAGAACAATTTGTTTCTTTTCTCCCTCCCTTGTTCTCACCCCCTCTTGCTCCTTTCAATCCCCATCCTGAGGCCAGGGCAATTAGAAACCACTGCTGGAGCCCAAGAATAGGTTGCTCAATACATATTGCAGAATACTTACTGGAAAAGAATGACCTGGAAGTTGGCTGTGGCTCAGCTCCTTGTGGAGGGAGCGCGAGAATGGCTCCACCTTGGAGGAGACTAGCTGCTCTCGGACAGGCTGGCCAGGCTCAGCCTGCAGCCAGGTGCCCAGCATGCCCAGACTAGGGGAAGGTCATATTGGGCCTGGATTGGCACTTTATGACTTTGCATAGTCAGGGAGAAGGAATGGGAGCCCTAGAGCTCTGGGGTACCTATTGGTGGGGTTTTGTTGCTGTGGGGAGGACAGCAGGGCCTCAGGTCACGGGGCATGGGCTTTCTGCAGCGAGCTTAAGCGGGGCAATGTGACCACTGTCCTGGAGACCGTTGGCCGGAGGCTTCGGGACTCCTTTGGCCGAACCGTGGACCTGGGACTGACAGGGGACCTTGGAGTCGTGCACCCCAGTGTTGCGGTGAGTGAGCCCAGAAGGTATGGCCTGTCCGGTATCTTTCTCCCAGAAGGGATGTGACCAGGGGAGTGGGGAGGACCAGTCAGTCTGAGGGACAGCTGATGTCCTGTCTCCACCCTCACAATGGAGAATAGCCTGCATGTCAGCCAGGCCTGGCCCTGGAGCCCCTGCCATGTGGGACAGGATGGCACCATGGGGAGGCGGTGCTGTGCTGAGTCCTTTCCTCTTGCTTCCAGGACAGCGCCAACAAGCTCGAGGAGAACGTGTATTACTTTGGCCGCACTGTGGAGACGTTGCTGCTCCGCTTTGGCAAGGTAGTCAGGCCCCTCCAGGCCCAGGAGTGGCAGGCCCTCCACCTGTGGGGTCAGGAAAATGGGGCCAGCATCTATGAGATAATGTTTTACCAAGTGTTCACCTTTTGAACCAAGCCCAGGAAGAAATCTACTCACCATTGGAGGGGTGGAATGGGGAGGCAGGGGTGATGGGTGGGTGCCCTGCTGGGGAGCCCCCTCCAGATGAAGAGAGGCTCCACAGGGCCTGAATCTCATGACCTGATCTGAGAGGCTCTGCGGCTGAAGATGTATTAAGCCTGGCTCTGGTCTCAGCCAGGTTCCTGGGACTTGATCTTACCTTTACCCTTGCCCAAATCTAGACATAGGGAAAGGAAAACAGGCAGCTACCGTGAGCCAACTTCTCACAATCTCCAGGCATAAAATGAGGCTCAGAGGTGTGAAATGTGCCCAGGGAGCAATGCGGGGGATGGGGTCACAGGTAACGGGGTGCCTTCTCCCCCCCCCCCCCCCCCCCGGGCTCTGTGTTCCCAGACCATTGTGGAGGAGCAGATGGTCTTGAAGCGGGTGGCCAACATCCTCATCAACCTGTACGGCATGACAGCTGTGCTGTCTCGGGCCAGCCGCTCTATGCGAGCAGGACTCCGGAACCATGACCATGAGGTGAGCCTGCTCTGTCCTGTGCTGCTCTGCCTGTCCACACACAGGAGTTTTGTCCTGTGCATTTAACTGAGGCCAGGTTGTTGGGAGATGGGAAGATTGAGTGGCATGATCCAATTTAGCAGTCTTAAGTGGGAGGGGCTGGGCAAGTCAAGAGGCTTGGCATCCCAGTTGTAGTCCCAGAGAGTGAGAGTAAAGTGCAGGGTCCGTGCAGCAGTTGGCCTGGAGGCTGGTGGGTTTGCTGAGTTGTGGCTGTGGCCTGTGGTGAGTACTGAAGTTCCGATGGGAGGGAGGGTCCATGTCTGCTCAGAACACAAAGCCACTCCCTTTTATTTTCCCATCTGAGAGAAAAGGTGGGTGAGTAGGGAGTCCTAAACCCAGCTCCCTCACCTTGGCTGTCCTCACCCTGCTGGTGGGGCACTCAGCGCCTGCAGTGGATTTGGTCTTCATGTACACAGACTCACAGTAGCCAGTGGCCATAGGAATTGTGATGTCTCTCTCACAGCGGAGGAAACTGAGGCTCAGAAATGTTGAGTAATTTGCTCTTGAGACAGAGCTAGTTTGGCTTTGGGCTGGAATTAATACCTAAGATTGTGTGACTTCTGAGCCACGCTTCTTGACCCCCACCAAGCTGCCCAGTGGTTCTTTGAAGTTTAGAGGTCAGTCACCAGGGAGGGGAGCCCTATGGCCCAGAGATCTCAAGGTTCTCTCTGACCTCGGTTCTGGCAGGTTCTGTTGGCCAACATCTTCTGCACAGAAGCTTATTGCCAGAATCTCTTCACCTTATCTCAGCTGGACAAGTGTGAGTAGGGTTGTTTTGGGGAGGAAGGAAAGGGTCTGCTTCTAGGCAACTGTTGATGGTGAGCTTTTTCTGGACCCTGTCAGGCTCTCAGGGCCTATTGGTCCTCACAGACTTCTGTCGTGAGTGAGGGCTGAGTAAGACCTGCACCGGCAGCAGGGCAGGAGCATGGATCTGCAGATAAAGCTCTGCCGGAGCCCTTGTGCGGGCCCTGCGGCATCAGCACAGTGAAGGTTCACAAAGGAAGAAGACAGTTCTCCTGCCTTTTCATTCCAACCCTGCGGTGGAGAGGAAGCTGCCCCCTCACAGATGTCCTGGGATGCTGTCCTAGACCATTGCTCAGTCTGGAATGCTCCTATGGCCATGGCTTTGAATGTATAGCTTAAATTCTCCTCTGACCATTACAGTCCTGCTGGCCTCAAGGCTTCACATCACGTGTCCCAATGGAGCCCAGCTCTGTTGCTAAGAGATTGTTGAGAGGGGCACATAATTCTGTGTAGGTTCTGGCTCAGGGTGCTGTTCAGGCACCCTCCACAGTGCTGACCTGACTGTTAGTGTGCTATGGAGATGACGAGATGGTTTCTCCTGTAATAATAGGCTTGCATCGCATTGACCAAGTGCCTTCTCCCATAGGATTTAGAGTTTTTAGGGATTAACAAGATGAGCCCTTTGTTATTCAGAGTAAAGCCTATATGTACAGCCCAGAATCACTCCCTGGGGGCTTTGAGGGGTAGTGGGGATACCCACAAGCAGTTAGGAAAACTGTTCTAGCAATATTCCTATTGTCACAATGCAGAAAGATCAACCCCTGTCTCCTTTCCTTTCCAGATTCTCCAGAAAATCTAGATGAACAGATCAAGAAAGTGTCCCAGCAGGTCCTAGAGAGGCGAGCATACATTTGTGCCCACCCTTTGGACCGGACGTCCTGAAGCAGAGAGACAGTGGTCACTGTTGCCGCCAGCCGTCAGGCCACAGCCTATTGCTAGACAATTCGCCTTTTCCAGAAGGTGTTGGGCTTGGGGTTATTTTAAGTCGAACTTTCTTCCCAGTCTTCACCTGAAGGTCTTTCTCTTACCTTGGGGAAGCCTCTTCTAGGCTTGATCTGTGAGCACTGCTGCCTAACATGATCATCCCAGGTTCTAAAGGGAGATGAATAGAGAGAGAATGGAGTTGCTGAGACCTGGAATTAGAGCATACGCTATTAGTTTAGGAGAATTCAGAATGGAAACGGGGGCTCTTGCTGCTGCCTCTGTGGCATGAGCCTGTGGGGATCTGTTTTGGGCGTGGACGGCCATTTCTACTAGATTACACCTTTCCCAAGAAATAGCTTGAAAGCTGTGTATGTGTCGTTCATTCAGACTAGAAGGAAAATATACTTGTGCCTTTATATTCTTTTTTAACAAAAAAAGTTTGTATTTACTCTTCTAATCATGTTTTTTCTCAGAACCAACCTTTAATGGATGATAGCATGAACTTAAGAACTACCCTTTAGTGATGGCTCTGTCTCTTTTGTCCTCAACCTGTGAGAAGGCCTTGAAAGCTGAGGAGCAGGTTCCCACTGCAGGGCTACCGGGGTTATGAGTCCTATCTTTGGTCCTCTCAGGTGATAGCTGGAAAACAGCATTTCTTGGTTCATGACAACATATGCTTGTTCCCACCTGGGCTTTTCTTCTGCTTTCTTTGCAAGGATTGCCCTCTAGTTTTGAAATGGGGACAAAAGTTATCTTTAGGTGGCACTAACAGGCCTTTGCATTTCTCCAGGCTTCCTTCTGCTGTTACTTGCTGTATGTACTGGGTCCCAGCACACTGGCAGGTTTCAAGCTTTGGTCTAGGGTGGCTTGGGGTTCCCCCCAAAAAGCCTCGAGATGGGAGGAGAAGGCTCACTCCTTTTCCTCCAAGTATAAATCGCAGTCTGCATGATGAAAGAAAAGGCAAGGAGTAGATTGGGAATGCTGAGACCTGACCTGGCATAATAGGGTTGGCCTGAACATTCTGCCAGGGTTTTGGTAGCTAATCTTCTAAGAGTAAAAGTTCACAAATATTGTGATTTTAGAAATAAGTTTCCAATGAAACTGAAAGTTCTTTTTATATATATATTTTGTTGTTAATTTCAGAGAGGGATAGAGAGATAGAAACATCAACAATGAAGGAGAATCATTGATCAACTGCCTCCTGCATACCCCACACAGGGAATTGAGCTCATAACTCGGCATGTGCCCTGACCAGGAATCGAACCATGACCTCCTGGTTCGTGGGTTGATATTCAACCACTGAACCACACCGATTGGGCATAAACTCAAAGTTCTTAAATGTTGGCAAGGAGGCGTTTTGCACAAAATGGAGAGTACCTGCCTTCTCACTGCTGGGGAAGGAGGTGCACGGAGCTCCTTTGCGAAGCATGCAGTCCCCACCCCGCTTAGGCAGTCCTTAAGAAGAGCTTCACTCTAGGCCTTGTGGCATGGAAGTCCTCTGTCAGCAACAGGGGTCTCCATCCAATTGAGTTTAAAGGCTGGAATCACTAGTTCAATTCTCTCTTTTTCACCTGTCATTTCTAAGTTTTATTAAACCTGTTGTGGGGAAGGAAGGTCCTGGCATGTATTTGTTATATTTTGTCAGCAATATGCACAGGCTTGAGATGCTCAGGGAACCTGTGTTGGGGAGGCCTGTGGTGCAACCCACCAGAGCATTCTGGTCAGTGAGGCAAGCATGGTTTCCTGGCCTAGACCACAGCAGTGGCTTAGCTTCTGACACACCAGCAGAAAGGAGATCCTCACACAGCCCAAAGCCTATTCTGAAGGGAGGCAGTAGGTACAAGTGAGGAGAGAGAGAAAGAGGGGGGTGTGGGGGGAGATTTCAGGAGCTTGTCAGCACTTCCTCCTATTCATGGAACTGTCTCTAGCTGCCCTTGGAAGTCAAAGTAGGTAGGAACTCCATCCTGATTTCTGGTAAAGGGTTCTCTGGCAATTTTTTTTTTTTTTTTTTTTTTTTTTTAATCAGAAAACCTATTTCTCTCCAGACAAAGGTTCTGGCTGTGTAAACCAACAAATTTAGGTTCTCTGCCAACCTATGAATGACCTGGAGGTCTTCATAACAGAGGGATGGAAAGAAAGAAGAAGACACAGAAGATTAAGGAAGCAAGACTCCATACTCCCCCACAGAGGGAGATGGCAGTATCTTGAGCTGGAAGGGAGTTGGTAGGTCCCAGTGAAGCCCAGATTCTCTTGCCTATGCCTCCCGAAGCCAATCTTGGGAACCAGAGTGTTGAAGCTCAGCAAGCCTTTAAATTTTTCCAATGCACCAGGCCCAATGCAATAAAGGGATTTGCCCAAAGTCACACAGTTGGAACTAGAATCTGGGACTCCTCTGAGTTCCAGCCCTGCATTCAATCTGTTACAGCAGACCCATTCTGAATCTTGATTTCCTAAATCATGGGTATCTAAAACAAGATGAATACTGCTGAAGAGAGAAAGTAGCCCAGAGCTCCTGCCAGTAGCATCAGGAGGCTTGGTTCTACAAAGGTCTTGTCTGTTATGGCTGGGTTCAGTGCTGAAGAAGCGTGCAGCTGAGGAAAGGCAGTGGCTTTGTATATAGATCAGTCCCCAGGGTACTGGTCCCTCCTCTTTTGATCTGGAATAGTAAACTCTAGCAAATCAGCAAATAATGTGTTTTTCCTCCACTCCTAAATCTGGAACAATAAGTCAGGAGTAAGTTCCTATATGAGCCCTGCTCCTCCCTGTGGACTTCAGTCAGTTCTGCAGTGGTGCCAGTGGGCAGCAGCTGGCAGTGGTGGTGATTTTCAGTACTGCTATGAAGACCTGACACTTGGAATCCATTGGCCGTGAGCCAGGCCAAGTAGGATTTCTTCTCGGCTTTTTTTCTTTTGAACCCTGAGACTACACTAAGGCTGAGAGGTCATTCTGTGACTACATGAATCTTCTTGGATCCTGGAAATGAGCAAACATGTGGATGGAGGGGTGATGGCAGACTTGGATAGGGCTGATAAGCCTCAGGTTTCTAAGTAGGTGTCAGAAAAAAACTGAGGGTATAGTGATAGTTCCTGACAATGGAGCATTTAAATTACTTAAACTGTGCAGCAGCCCTGGAAGTTTCACACTGTTGTCTCCTTTGACAGAAACTCTTTTGTAAAGTCACCATGTGCTGGAATCTAAGCCAAGGCTTTTCCTTTGGGGTGACAGATGTTTTTCATAAGGAGCAATAAAATGCTCTCTAGCGGTGAGGAACCTGCAGTGGTTTGCAGCTGTGGACATCTGAACATTCCCTGAGGACCTCTTGGCTCACCTCTGCATGCGGAGAATTAACATTTAGTTTGGGAACAGAATACCTCTCCCAGCACCTGATCCTTGTCTATTCCCCCTATCTGGTTTGCTCTCCACACACCGGAGATCTCCTGCTTACCTCCAGGCAAGTCGTCATAGAGGACAGAGTTCATTATCCTGTCTGCAGTATAAGCATTTGATTGTTTCCCATATTCCAAGCCTCTCACTCACCTTGACCATCTCTTGATACAGCCACTTCTTGGCAAGCTCTGTGTAATTCAAGCTCTGTGTAGTTAGAGAAAGCATCTTTGATCAGGGCATCAATTCTAAATACCATAGAGATTTTGGAGACTTCTTGCTAACCTGGTAGGCTCCTATAGTATTTGTCTGAAGAAAGAGACACCAGTCATTACACAAGGTCCCTGACCACCATCTATCTTTTTGTGTTCATCTCTGGAACATGGCTCCCATGCAGATACTGATTCTTGAATACTGGAGCTGCCATTTCATCTCAGAACCCTGCCAAAGGTCCATCCAGCCCAACCCCTTCCTGTCTACAGTGGACCAGAAACTTGACATTGGCTAAGGCCACTGGAACTGGTACACACAGCACCTGAGTTTAGAATGGAAATAGAAGTAGCAATACTTATTAACGTCCCCAAAGGAAGGGGAAGTAAAAATAGAAACCTTAGGAAGAAATAATGAGTATCAGAATTGATAAGGAAAATTCCAAGCCTGGACACATTATTAGTGAGATTTAAAACAAAAGCAAAGATGAGTTCTGAAAACTGACAAAGAGCAGGGCACCTGTGAAAGAGAAAGTATGATTAACTTCAGATTCCACGACACCAATGCTGTAAATAAGAAGGTAAAGAAACAGCCTGCAGATTTTTTTTGTTTTTGTTTTGTCTTGTTTTTGTTTTTAATTGATTTTAAAATATCCAAAGCCGGTTTGGCTCAGTGGATAGAGCGTCGGTCTGTGGACTGAAAGGTCCCAGGTTTTTTTTTTTTTTTCTTTTCTTTTCTTTTTCTTTTTTTTACAATTTTATTTATAACAACATCTGTTATTTAGTTGTAAAGGAATTCAGCAAAAATTATTAAAACGTTCCGGTCCCCAAAACGGGGCTGCCCTCTTGCCCTTCCTCGGTGTGCCCCCCCTCCTCCCCAGGGGAGGGGAGTCTGGGGGACCGTCTACCAAAGTCTCCAGCCCTGGGAGCCACGTGGGGGCACTGGAGATGGGGTGCCTGTCTGGGAGGGATACCGAGCGTGGCCGTCTCAAGGTTGCCCCTAGAATGGGGACTGGGGCATGGGATGGACGCCCCCAAGAACTAAAAACTCCATCCTGAAAGGTCCCAGGTTTGATTCTGGTCAAGGGCATATACCTCGGTTGTGGGCATATCCCCGGTAGAGGATGTGCAGAAGGCAGCTGGTCGATGTTTCTCTCTCATCGATGTTTCTAGCTCTCTATCCCTCTCCCTTCCTCTCTGTAAAAGTCAATAAAATATATTAAAATAAAATAATGACAAATAAGAAACTATCTGGCATTGAAATTGGGACTCAAAAGAACTGTTGGCCCAGAAAGGAACTCACTACAGACTGATTCATTTGCCTCTCAGCATAACCATTATGCTTTGTTGCAGTTTAGGTTCTTACAAGGGTATTTCTTGGATCACATGATCTCACACATCTAGAGGAAATAATGAACAACATAAACAGACCAGAGAAAGAGAACCAGCGATCAGACTCTCAAACCTCAGAGGGAAAGTAAGGGAGGATGGGGGTAAGGGGAAGAGATCAACCAAAGAACTTGTGTGCATGCATATGGGCCTAGCCAATGGCCATGGACAACGGGAGTTGGGGGGGGGGGGAGAGGAGAAGCATAACTAGGGAGGGGTTTGGGATGGGAATGGGGTAATAAGGACAATTATGTGAGACCATAATCAATCAATCAATCAATAAATAAAATAATGAAGAGGCAAGCCACAGACTGGGAAAATATATTTGCAATACATGTGACTGACAACTTATCCAAATAAAAATAAAATAAAAAACCCACAAACCAGTAAAAAAAATTCAACTAAACTTCTTTTAAATAGAGGTAAAATATACTGAGTGGCCAGATTATCATGATCGCTGAATGCATAATAATCTGACCACTCAGTATATATCCTATATAATAAAAGGCGAATATGCAAGTCGTCCCCTCAACCAGTTTGACCAGCAGGCAGGCCGGTCAACCGCCCAAGTCCCTTCCCCCTGGCCAGGCTGGCTGGACCCCACCCATGCATGAATTCATGCACCAGGCCTCATATACACTAGAATCCCAGTGCACGAAATTCGTGCATGGGATGGGGGGCGGTGTCCCTCAACCCAGCCTGCACCCTCTCCAATCTGGGACCTCTCAAGAGATGTCCCTCCCCTGGCTGACTGGCCCAATAGGCCTGGATCAAGATTGGCGAGATGGCCCCGATTGGCCAGAAGGGACCCCACCCATGCAATAATTCATGCATTGGGTCACAAGTATCTATATACCTATATGTATGTTTGTGTGGAAGACTTAAGATTTTATGCATTTTACTAACTTTAATGTACATTAAAAAAATGACATAAGAAAACCACAAGTGAATATTCTGTGAGAGAAAACCATTGATTGCTATATATACTAGACTCTAGTAACTAGAGGCTCAGTGCACAAAATTCGTGCACAGGTAGTGTCCCTAGTGGCTGCCGCCACCATTGCTACCAGCTGGGGGAAGTGCTTCCCTCTCCCCAGCCGCCTGCTGCCATCGCAGCCCTAACCCCTGGTCAAACTCTCAGTTGAGCTTCCAGTTGGGACAATTTGCATGGTAGGATTTGATTATATAGGATATACACTGAGTGGCCAGATTATTATGATCTCTGGACACATAATAAACTGACCACTCAGTGTATATCCTATATAATCAGAGGCTAATATGCAAATTGTCCCCTCAACCAGGAGTTCAACCATGTTCCCTCCCTCTGGCCAGGCGGCCGGATCTCACCCATGCACGAATTCATGCATTGGGCCTCTAATACACACACACACACACACACACACACACACACACACACACTGAGTAGCCAGATTATGATGTGTTCAGAGGTCATAAGAATATGGCCACTCAATGTATATATAACAAGAATAGAAGCCTTTTAATGATAGTGGCCAGAATTTGCTAGTATTGTTTAAATACTTTCCATTCATCATCTGATTAAATCTTCATTATGGATCCAGAATTTTTAATTACCTTGTGCAATTGAGGAAACTGGAACTATAAGTTTCCATGATTTATCAAGGATTATAAAGTTAAAAGGGTAGGACTGTAGATCTATGTGCTGTGCCAGCACAGCCAAGGGTTTGGTGAGCCTGAGGGAGGGCCGGTGAAGGATGAAGAAAAGACAGAGAATAAGCTGGACCTAGGTGAATCTTCTGTGCCTGGCTGAGGCCATAGAACAGATCCAGACTGCAAGCTGATGCTTTATTTTATAGTCAGAGATAAATAAGGTAATTTACAATGTTCTTGTAAGTTTCACTTCTTTGGCAGCACTTGCTGCACCTCCCACAGCCCATTAGCTATCCAGGAACATCTAGGGAGCATCCTAAGGTCAAGCTTAATTATGCTAATAGGTCTGTGCCTTCTAAGCTGGGACTTGTTTGCGGTTTTGCCAGCAGGTCAGGCTGAGGCTTAACCCTATAACCACTCCCTACAGATCTAGAATCTAAATCTTAGGATATTTGGTTACAAAGCTAGTGCTCATAATCACTCTACTACATTTCTTCTCTATATTATAAATTAAATTATTCCTAAAACTATCATTGTGCCAAAAATGGAGCTTTTACAAAGGAAAAACAAAACAAACCTAATCATACTGTATTTGGATATTTTAACAGACTTCCTCTAATGAGGGAAGAAACAGAATTTAAAGATAATGTTATAGAAGATTTGGAAAAAAAAATTGACATAATGACATATATAGAACATTATCAACAACTACAGGATACACATATATTTCAAGTAAGTTGGAACATTTACCAGAATTGATATGCTGAACCACAAATCAAATCTCAGCAATGAGTAAAAGATACACAATGAAACCAAGGTAGAACTCAATAACAGAAGATATGGGTAACTGAAACATCCTAAAGTATTTGGAAATTAAAGAGTATACTATTAACCATGTGTCAAAGAAAAAGTAAAAATGGAAATTAGAAATATTTTTAATTGAGTCATTATGAACATAAGTATCTAAACTTGGGGAATGCAGTTAATATTCATAGGAAATTTGCAGCCAAAAGGAATATAATGATAAATGCTTAAAATCAATTATCTCAATATCCATCTAAAGAAGTTAGAAAAAGAACAAATTAAATATAAAAATAAGCAGAAATCAACAATGTCCTATATAATGAGAGCCTAATATGCTAAGTGTCTGTTCAACCAAAGTGTAATATGCTAAGATATTCTAAGGCTGCTCAACTGCTCCCTGTGAGATGCACTGACCACCAGGGGGCAGATGTTCCAAACAGTAGGTTAACTTGCTGCTGAGGTCCAGCTGATCGGGACTGAGCGAGGCAGGCTGGACATGCCCTGGAGCCCTCTTACAGTCCCTCCCCAGCTGGCCAACCTCCTATGTCCCTCGCTGGCCCCAATCATGCACTGGTGTTGGTTCCCTGGCCTGGCCTGCACCCTCTCACAATCCAGGACTCCTCAGGGGATGTCGGAGAACTGGTTTCAGCCCAATGGTGGAATGACTGATCACTATGACATGCACTGACCAACAGGGGACAGATGCTCAACGCAGGAGCTGCTCCCTGGAGGTCAGTGCACTCCCAACAGGGGAGTGCTGCTCAGCCAGAAGCTGGGTTCAGGGCTGGCAAGCACAGCACCAGTGGTGGGAGCTTGGATGTCCAACTGACAGCTTAGGTCTGGTCCCCACGGGAAGTGAGCCTAAGCCATCAGTCAGACATTCCCCAAGGGCTCCCAGACTGTGAGAGAGCACAGGCTGGGTTGAAGGTCAACACCGCCCCCCGCAACCCCCGAATGCACAAATTTTATGGACTGAGCCTCTAGTAGAAAATAAAGGTATAATATGGAAATCAAAAGAGCAGTGGAGAATGTTGGTTCTTTGAAGAGAATATTACATTGATAAATGCAATTTCAATAAAGCTCAACCACCTATGAACAGGCTCATGCATAAATGGCAACTTGGTCTGACAGAATGACAGTATTGATTACTGGGGAAGGTTGAACTTTTAAGCAAAGTTGCTGGTATCATTGATCATATAGAAGAAATAAAATTATATTTTTAGCCTCATGCAAAAAATATATTCCTGATGGATTAAAACATTTTAAATAATTAACAATTTTTTTAATTTTAGGACAAAACAATAGTTATATGACCTAGGGGTAGGAAATAGTTACTTAAGGCAAAAAAATTGAAGTCATAAGGGAAGAATGGAAAAAATTACAAAATTTGAAATAATTTTAATCAATAAAAGACACCATTAATAGAGTGAGAAGACAAGGCAGACACCCTGGTTTTCTGTGCTGAGTCATTCCCTCATGCTGCAGAGCTCATCTCTCTCAGGCAGACCTTTGCTATCCAGGCTGTTTTTGCCTGTAGGGAAAACAATTGACCCAACCTATTGAAAAACCAGTTGCACTACAGTAAGGAGTTTCTGAGGCCCCTTAAGGAGCTCAGATTAACAATTAGTCTCCAGGCAGAAGCAAGTACAATACCCTAGCTTAGGGGTGTCGAACTCAATCAGAGAAGGGGCCAAAATCTAAAATCCAGCCTAAATCGCGGGCCGAATGGTTTACTGAACAGTCATAAACTGTCATTGTGATGGAAATGCAGCGGAGTGCAGTGATGACAGCGCGGTGCGGGCCACATTGCAAGGCCTGGCGGGACTGATTTGGCCCGCGGGCCTTGTGTTTGACACGTGCCCTAGCTGTTGGAAAACCTCTCACCCCACCTGAGGACAATTGCTTGAGGCTACTCAAGACTGAATCAATCAGTCTGCAGGCAGAGGTGGGTTCTAGAGGCTTTGAGTCTCTGCATGATCTAATTAGAAACAGCATCGGAGTCTTACCACAGACATTGCCCCAGATTGCACAGGAAGGTAAACACCATTGGGACCTCATATGCATCCCCACTCCCAAACACTACTCCAGACCTCGAAGCATGGCAAAAGCAACCAGTACCCCAAGTGCCTGCAGCTGACACCTGCAGGACCAGCTCCATGGGGAAGGGAGTACAGCTAAGAATGGAAAATCAAGGTGTGAGACTCAAGGCAGACCCAGCCTCTAGTTAAAAAAGTCCCCAACCACGACTAGGGGCTTCAACCTCTTGGACTTCAATCAGGTTGCCCAGGGTCAGAAAGGAACAGTGACTTGCATTCACCTGCACTAAAGAAGCTCCCAGAAGGTCCAAGATAGACACCCCAAGGGACTAGATTTAACAACATCAAAGCAAAATCCAGTGAGCCCCACAAATAGTGTACCCAAAGCACTTGTATAACAAATGGCACTATGGCATTGGGGTTTAACCTCACCAGCAGCAAGTTGGTCTACCTCAAGAAACAAGAAAAATCTCAAATAATCTAAACTTATAACTAAAGGAACTAAAAAATGAACAACAAAATCTAAAGTGAGTGGAAGGAAGGAAATAATAAAGACTGAAGTGGAATCAAATAAAGGAATCTAAAAAATATAAACTATCGCCGAAGCCAGTTTGGCTCAGTGGTAGAGCATCGGTCTGCGGACTGAGAGGTCCCGGGTTCGATTCCGGTCAAGGGCATGTACATTGATTGCGGGCACATCCCCAGTAGGGGGTGTGCAAGAGGCAGCTGGCTGATGTTTCTCTCTCATTGACATTTCTAGCTCTCTAGCTCTCTCTCTTCCTCTGTTAAAAATCAATAAAATATATATTAAAAATAATAATAATAAAAAATAAAAAAATAAAAAATATAAAAAATATAAACTATCAATAAAACTAAGAGCTGGTTCTTTAAAAAGAAAACAAGGATTATAAACCTTTAACCAGATTTATAATGAAAACAAAAGGAACCACATAAGTAAAATCAGAAATATAAGAAGACTAACAACTGACACTACAGAAATACAAAGGACTATAAGAAATTATTATTAACAACTATATGCTTTTTAATTGGACAATCTGGAAGAAATAGACAAATTTTTATAAATATATAATCTTCCAAGATTGAATCAAGAAGAAACAAAATCTGAACAGTTCAAACAATTACAACCAATAAAATCAAAGTAGTAGTAAAAATAATAATAATAAAAACTCCCAACATACAAAGTTCCTGAACCAAATGGCTTCACAGGTAAATTACAGCAAACATTCAAAGAAGAATTAACACCTTTTGAAACTTCCAAAAATATCAAGAGATGATAGGCTACCAAGCTAATTTTGTAAAGCAAACATTATCCTGATTTCAAAACCTCATAAAGACACTATATAGAAATAATATAGGCCAATATCACAGATAACTATAGAAGAAAATTTTTTCAACAAAATATTAGCAAACTGAATCCAGCAATAAATTTGAAAAATTACACACTATGATTAAGTGGGATTTATTCCTGGGATGCAAGGCTGGTCCAATATCCATAAATTAGTTAATGTAAAACAGCACATAAACAAAATGAAGAAGAAAAATCACATGATCATATAAATAGATGCAGAAAAACTATTTGATAAAACCCAGCATCTATTTATGTTAAAAATTTTAAGCAATAGTGGAAACATTTCTTAACATAATAAAGGCCATACATGACAAAAACACAGTTAACATCATAATCAATGGGGAAAAAGTAAAAGTGTTTCCTTTAAGACAAGGATGTCTACTCTTATTATCCTTATCCAACATAGTACTGGAAGTTCTAGACACAGTTATCAGAGAAAAAGAGAAAATAAAAGGCATCCAAATTGAAAAGGTAAAGGTAAAATTGTCTTTATGATGACATAATATAAAGAACTCTAAAGATTTCACCAAAAAACTATTGAAACTGATAAATAGATTTAGTAAAGTAGCAAGATACTGAATAAATATTCAGAAATTTGGTTGCATTTTTATACACTAATAATGAACTGTCAGAAAAGAAAACTTGTTTTGGCAAAAACAAAACAAAAAAACCTCCCATTTACAATTTTTTCAAATACACACACACACACACACACACGAATAAATTTAAACCAAGGAGGTCAAAGACCTGCACTCAGAATATTATAAAACAGTGAAGGAAAAAATTAAAGAAGATACAAATAAATGCAATCCTATGCAGTGCTAATGGTTAGGACAAATTACCATCATTAAAATGTCCATACTACAAAGCAATATATAGGTTCAATGCCATTTCTATCAAAATACCAATTACATTTTTCATTGTACTATAACAACAACAAAAAAAAATTACTATGGAACCACAAAAGACCCCAAATGGCCACAGCAATCTTAAGAAGAACAAAATAGGAAGGGTCATGCTATCTTATATCAAACTACTAGAGGCCTGGTGCATGAAAATTCATTCAGTGGAAGGGGGTCTCTCAGCTCAGCCCTCCCCCATCACAGTCCAGGAGCCTTCAGGGACATGATGCAAACCAACAATCAGGGGAAGGCAATGTCCCATCACACCTCTGCTGCTGCCACTACTGGCAGTGTAAGGCACATGTGTCAAACACAAGGCCCGCGGGCCAAATCAGTCCCGCCAGGCCTTGCAATGTGGCCCGCACCGCGCTGTCATCACTGCACTCCGCTGCATTTCCATCACAATGACAGTTTATGACTGTTCAGTAAACCATTCGGCCCGCGATTTAGGCTGGATTTTAGATTTTGGCCCCTTCTCTGATTGAGTTCGACACCCCTAGTGTAAGGTTTGGCCGGCCCTGGTTACTTACCTGAGCCTCAGGCAGCCCTGGACAGCTGGGCAGCAGCCATCTGAAGCTTGCCTAAGTCTTGGGCTGGCCCTTGGTGACTAGGGGGCTGAGGAGACTGGGGGACTCCGGAGGCAGGCATGCAAAGTGGCCAGGCCCACCCCAGATGGGGCTGAGGGGTCTGGGTGCGCCATCTTGTGGCTGTCAGCACCATTATCTTTGTAATAGCATGAGGGTCAATTAGCATATTCCCTCTTTATTAGATAAGATATTACAAGGCCATAGTAATTTAAACAGCATGATATTGGCATAAAAACAGACACATACAGTGGTGCCTCGCATAAAGAACGCCTCGCACAGCGAACGCTGCACACAACGAACTTCATTTCATGATTCATACAACGAACTTCGTTTCACACAACGAAGTCACCCGAGCTTCCACAACCGCTTTGCCCGAGCTTCCACGACTGCTTCGCCCGAG